GCTTCGAGAATTTTATCGAAAGAAGGATGAAAATATTTGTCCATCCTGGTGATCTTCACTGTGACTTGTGGTTCCCACTATTTTCTCTATGATTGTATATCATCTACCTATATGGTTGGTTGGTTAATTTGGTCCTCTCCTCATTGACACCTGATATTCGATTGATAAATTTTGATTTATGTCCATATGTCTATTAATTTCAAGCTGATATGAGTTTTAGACCTCTAGGAATTGTCTGCCGGTCTCCCTATATATTATCCCAATTCAATTGATATGAACAAAATGCATGTCAACTCCCCTAACTACTGATTTTTATTCATGGATAAAAAGATCAAGGGAATGCTTGCTTTGACCAACAATATAGTGTTTTTCCTCGGAGTATAAAGTCTCTTCTATGTAGATGACGCTTGTTCTTGTCTTCTCACACAGTGTTTGGATCATTAAGTTTACTTAGTATATGTAGTGAAGAGAACGCATTCGTTATTTATGAGAGAAACAACTACATTACAAGAGGTTTCAATAATCTAGCAACCGATATGTTAACAATATCACTGTCTGTCTATCTGTCTCCATATTGTGATTTATTATTATTATTTTTCCCTTGGGCTCCGAGTGGGATATCCTCATTCAGCAGCTCGTCTCCATTTCACTCTGTTCTCTACAGTCCATTATATATATATATATATTATTGTATCCTTTAATTCCTAGAGGAATATAGGGCTTCAGCTGCGCGTCTCCATTACCTTCTGTTTTCTGCCAACTTTTTCATTCCACTCCAAGTCTGCCCACATGCTTTCATTTCCTCTTCACATGATCTCCTCCATGTCACCCTAGCACTGACGACCAACTTGCCGCTTCCCTTTCGGGTTCCACTCGAGCAATGGCTTGTCTAGTGATGTCACTTGATGGCGTGTTTCCTCAGAGTATGGCCAGCCAATCCATCTCCATTTCTTCCTGCCTATTTGTTTCACAATCGGTTCGTGGTTAATGTGCTCCCAGAGTTCCCTCCCTGTTGGTGATCTTTTCTGGCTGGCCATCTTATCTTGAGTAGTATTGAACGAAGACAACTGTTGATCGTCTGTAGTTTGTTTGAGATGCTGTTTATGACGCGCTGGCCAACTCTCGGATCCGCATAGTAGCACTGACTGTCTTCACATTGGAGTTGAAAATCCGGATCTTATTTTTGATTCTGAGTGCTGTTGACCTCCACACAGATTTGAGAGTATATATATATATATATATATATATATATATATAGGGCCACAATTACCTATAGGCTTTTATCTCCTCCTCCTCCTCATGCAATCAATCTCCAGCATTTTACTCTCAGGCGCCCAGCTTGTCGCTTTCCATTTGTGTTCTACTGGAATGCGTGGCGCTTGATATCGCTACTTAATGGTATCCTAAGCTTATGTCCGGTCCATTATATCAAGTAGTACATAATAATAAGTATATAATAATCGCCGTGATTTTAAAAGGGTAAAATCAATCGATAAACTGAATATCTATGTCATATCAGTTGTCAGACTTCTTCACCAACCAACATCACTCAAAGGATAGAGATCATTAAGAATCGGGGAGCAGCAACTGGACAGTTATTTCGTTCTAGGGTTGGGACTGTTCAGCACTTCGCACCCAAGACCCCAACACAGTGACCAGAACCCCCCGGAACCTTCAGGTTACGAGCCCAAGGTCGTTGACCATTCAGTCACCTGGGCTGGAATTCAATGGCCTGTTAATTCTAACTTTGTCACTTCGGGTCGTTGGATTCCAGTGAAATTGATTGGATGCATGGTCAACGAGCTTGTTGTCGTAACCTGAAGGTTCCGGGGTTCCGATCAATGTGTTGGGGTCTTGGGTGTGAAGTGCTGAACAGTCCCAACCCTAGAACGAAATAGCTGTCCAGTTGCTCCCTGATTCTCAATGATCTCTCTCCTCTGAATGGCGTTGGCTGGTGAAGAAGTCTGACAACTAAAATTAATGTAAGTCCCGTAGTCTTATTGTGCATCATCCCAATATCACCTTTCTTTATTCCTTCACGTTCCCAGTGGAACATAGGGTGCCTTCAGGCTAGAGGCCTAAAGTTTCTGTAACAGTGGTGTTTTTACAAGGTGGGGGTTGCTAGCCGCCTCATGCCCAACCTTCCTTCTTTACCAGCCTTATTTACCGGCTTAGCGAGGTAAATGAGGAGTGCATCAGTGGTCGGGAATCGAACCCTGAACCACATGAGGCGGCGTCGGCAAGCCGTCTACGACTGTGCCACCAACGATGCACCCAATATCACCTAGGAGGCGTTGTTTAGAAAAAAGGATCAATTCAATTGAGATAGTATATATGGATCCGCGTATATCACAGTTCCTGTTGAGACACTTGAACCCAGCCGCTAACAGTAGTTCAAATGCTGCTGAGAAATTTAAAAACAAAGGTTATCCCACTTTTGTGTGTCTACCCTCCTGAACTCTGGTCAAATAATGTATTGAAAAAATATATAACAACATGGTATCATATGCTGCTATTATTATTATTATTATCTATACTTTTTTCTCTCATTTATCTGTTTTTAATTTAATGTTGTACATTAACATTTCCAACTGAAATATATTCATGAATGCGTGTGTACACATGTATACATACATACACACATGCATACACGCATACATACGCACACAGGGGACATGATAATACTTCTCTATACATCATCATTATCATGTGAGGTGAAGTATATGCCATCACATGTTTCAACACATGTGTACACATAAACACTCGAGAATTTATCCTGATACTGTGGGGTACTACTACTACTACCATTATAGGTGTGTGTATTTGTGTTTTCGGGTTGTTTATACCTTGTCAACAGTCTCATGTGTCCTACCGTTTATAATATGTTTTCTTTTTGGGGAATTTCACGTTCTTTTAACCAATATATATGTATATATACATATATTGTTTTTCAAAGAGTTATGCGAAAGGTTTTAGTATTGTGTGATTTGAAAATAGGGTGGGTCGCTTTTGAAGAAACACCATCCTTCGAATTGTTTTGTCTTGTAAACATACCGTTCACATATCCTCCGCTTTCTCCTCTTGTGTTCTATAATCTACCCGATTCCCTATCATAGAGAGATTGTGGTTGTGTTGTGTGTTACTATGCTGTGGGCAAATTGTAAACAACTGTTCATTTCGGTGAGAATGCCTTTTGCCTTTGATTTTTTATTCAATTGTTCTCTAACACCGATGTGTTGTAGTTTAGGTGGATAAATTCCATTGAAAATCAATTAAATTTCGACAATCGTGCACCATCAACCCCACCCACTAGCTTCACTTTATTTTTTACTTACATTTCCTCTTTCTATGCTATTGTGAGGTAGTACTGTACCTACCTAAGCGTGAAAATATTTCACTTTAATGCATGTGACATTTGTCATTTATAACGTGAAAATGAATTTTCACTGCTGGTGAATAGAGGTGTAAAGCGTCTCCATCGAATGATGAGCAAGCTATTTAATGTGCTTCCTTCCATCTAATGAGGAGGAAGAGGTTTACCGTGAAAATGATACATCCTGACTTCCCTTGTGGCAGTGATCTTTACCAGATGGTAACAGTTTTATACTGATACAACTCTAAATAGCTCTTCATGTGATCAGGCTCAAGCAGTCCCCCCCCACCATTGGGCTGTTCGATCAACGCATGACTAATGCTGTCTGTCTGTGCGAGCTGCCCCCACACACCTTTCGCTTAAAAGCTCAGCTCTATTTCTTTGTTGTTATGGCTGTATTGGCCAATGTTGACAAAATATCCAGCTAGTATTACTACCATATTTTAGCGAACAGATAACAGATATTGTTCTCTTAAACCCTTCTGAATAGAGTCGTCTTCAAATGTCTGATGATATATATATATGCCCAGATCCATGAATTGGTCGAGTATTGTTCACTCCACTAAAGAAAGTGCAATCCACTTTGACAGTCTATATACTATTATTATTGTTATTGTTTCCTTTAATTCTTAGAGGAATATAGGACTTCAGCTGCACGTCTCCATTGCGTTCGGTTCTCTACCAACCCTTTCATCACCTGGCTTCACGTTTGCCCACATGCTTTCATTTCCTCTCCATATCACCCTCGCACTGACGACCAACTAACTCTCCGCTTCCCACTCAGGTTCCACTCGAGCGATAGCCTGGCGTGTGATGGATGTCACTTGATAATGGTTTGTTTTCTCAGAGTATGGCCAATCCAATTCACCAACTGTATTTCTTTTTGCATATTTGTTGCTCATTTGGCTCCTGCTTGGTTGGTTCGTTGGTTCATTGTCAGAGATCTCTGTCACTGATGTTTTCTGACCGGCCCTCTGTTCTTCGGTAGTATTGAGCGAAGACAGCTGTTGATGAAGGTGTGTAGTTTGTTGGAAGTGGCCTTCGTGACGCGACGCAGCGCCAAGTCTCTGATCCGTATAGTAATTGAAATTGAAAATTCGGATCTTTTTTTTCATTCTGAATGCTGTTGATCTCCTCCATAGAGACTTGCATTCTCGATCCTCGCTGCTTTGATATCCCCATCAGTTCCGTCCGCCTGTTGTTGAAACGATGCTTCCCAAGTAGGTAGGTAGCTAGATGAAGGAGGTTGCTTCTCTCAGATTTCTCCTATTCATGCTAATTATTGTCTGTTGTTGTTGTTGCCGTTGCTGATGGCCCGGAATCTTCATCACTTCCGTCGTCTCTATGTTGCTTTTCACTTGCATATCTTCCAGTTTGTTGGAAATCAGACATATCATATCCAGATCCTCCAAATTTTTTGGTGTGGGTCCATTTTATGCCTGTTCCCTCGTTGTGCCCTCCCCCCGCCACCCGCTGTCTGTCGCATTATCCAGTCTACCGCAATAAAAAAAAAATCATTGGAGGTAGTAGACAGCCCTATCTATCTATCTACTATATTTATAGATATTTACTTTCTAACAGAAAATCAATTATTTTTTAACCTTTTTTTCTTTTTTATAATTAAAAGATAATCGATTTCGTGTCACATTACGTCATACTGGTGATGGTAGTAAACTTTTTCAAGGTCTTCAAGGCAGTTTACATGTACAACACTGGAGATTATGCTTAATTGGTGAACCATCAAGTGGATGTAAATTTATTTGTAATTGGCGATTAGATCATGTTGAAAAAGCTTATACAATGACTATGCCTGCACAGAATGCTAATCAATTTTTCACATCTAATAATACTACTAACAATAGTAGTAGTAGTATTAGTAATAGTAACAGTGGTAATAGTAATAATAATAATACTAGTACTATTAGTAGTAACTGTACTACCACTACAAACAATCCTACAATTGGTATGAGCAATTCTGCATCAATGAGTTCATCAGTTACTATATCGTCAGCTTCGTCCACTAATACTGGTCATTCACAAGCATTGGATATTCATCATCGTACTTCTGGTTCTTTTGGTTCTGGTTCACGTAATCTAACCGGTGTGTTAGCAGCAACAACAACAACAACAAATTCAAATTCAACGCCTAACAATACTAACAAGTATTTATTTTTTATGGAATGCAGTCCAGCATCGGGAAAGGGTAAGTGATCTGAGTTTTCAAGAGTTTTACACTTCCTTCCACCACCCCACCACCCCTCAATTCACTTAAAGTGAACTTAACCTGTGCAACGTTTCTGCACTTTTTTTGTATTGTTATATTTGATCCGTTGTAGTTGATTTGGTAGCCTACTTACTAGTGAAATACTCACCCACCCAGCCACACAAGAGGCTCTGATTTCATCCATAATCGATGCACTTGTTGTAAACTTTGCCTACTGTACTCGTCAGTAGTAGGTTCAGAAAAGAAAGGAGTGAAGTTTTTGGGCGTGATGCTATCGACCCCTTACCCCCACCGAACCCGCTCTGTGAAACCAAGACCAACGCTACTAAAACTTGAAAGCTTGTGGCTGGCTCTGTGTTACGTTCGCAATGCAAGCAATAAAAATAAGCTCCCTCATCTCAGTGAGTTAAACATTTTTTTTCGAAGTCTATGAGGGGGGATGTATCTGATGGCTGTTAAACAGCTGTGGGGTTCACTGGTCTATTAGGTTCAATTTCATTGCCGACTACAAGTTCGAATCCAAATTTTCCTTTGGCTACATGGAAATGCAAGTAATTGTAACCCTTCTTCTTTTTTTTCACCATTTTCTGTAAGTATGGTATATGTGGTTTGCGCCATCTAAGTGCAAATACTGTTGTAAGATTGTCAGGAGTCTGAATTTGATCTCATTCGCATAAAGTTATCGACAAGTTCGTATATCTAGGTAGTTGTGTGATTCTTAGTGGTGGTGCAGCGAACGGCATCTCTAATCGTATGGTGAAACCTAGGGCGGCGTATGCCAATTTGTTCCACCTCTGGAGTCGCCGTCGTAATATCAGCTTCGCTATCATCGATGGGATTTACAATGCTTTAGCAGGCGCAGTCTTGGTCTACGCATGGAAAATCTGGCCTTTCTGAGCTGAAGATGTGCGGTGATCATTGTCTGCATAAAATTGCATCTGATCTTATCATCGTATAAGGGATTCTAATGCTTGGCAGCATGTGTTTGAACACAGTGGATGGAGGTCACCATTTATTGAGAATGTCGTCATTTGCAAACACTGGCTTCTGCGGCTTGGGCATGTTGCTGTCATATGTCATTCCCATAGGCTTCCGTACCGGTCAGTGTTTGCTAGCTCACTAGGACTGGATAGAAGAAGCGGAGTGGAAAGGTGGTCAGTACATAACTTGGTGCCACGGGATTGAAGGATACTTGTGTTCGTTTAACATCAGTTAGTGCCTAACGACTCTTTGGTTGGGGTGCAAAAGACAGTTTGACTCGGTGTCTCAAAACATTATAAGATATACGGTCAAGAATCGTAATCAATAGCGAACTTGCTGCAATCTCCATTCTTCCATTCATGGAAGTAACATAAAGTGTAACGAATGTTGCGTGATCTTAACAAATATGCTTGCTTTCTACATGACGTTCCTCATTCATTCATTCTATTCCTATTTCCACATATTGTGGTGTGGCGCATTTCTCAATGCGCCCATGTTATACCACGTTTGTCTTTTAAATACAATTAAGTAAGTTTTCACTACTATACTAAAAAATTCTAATCTCACTAATATTTGAGTGTCGGATAGGTGCAATTTAAACCCCAATTTTGATAAATGGGGTCAGTTATTAAGAAGCCAAATTTGTGGTTTATTTCGGACATTTAAAACCCAAGAACTATATCAAGTACTTCTGCAGTGATCCCAGCTATGTGAATGTACTGGCGACAACATGTTGTGTATCACTCTGATTACACAGTATCTAAGAAGTTTGCTTGTAGGGATTCGAATACGGATTGACATGAGTTAGAGAAATAACCACTGAAAACTTGAAAGGAGTCTTGGATAGCTGTGTTTAGTTTTCAGTTTCTAGGACGCATTGTCAGTAGGTACCCACCCACCTACCGGGTTTCGAACTCAAGACTGTCTGGTGGCTACACGAATTGATAGAAGTTAGAATTCATGGATCTCAGTGGCTGGAATGATCCACGAATTTACCTTGTAACTGGAAGGTCCTGGGTTCGAGAGCTAGTGGGTGTGTACTTTGATTCATTGACCCAAACCAGGACGAAACAGCTGTGCAGTACTCCCAGGTTTTCCAGTGGTTCTCTAACTGATATCAGCTCATGATTAAATGCTTCATGCAATCAAACAAAATCCCTACAAAACCAATACTTGAAAAAAGAAATATCTTTGTGTGTTTGTCATTTGGATCAATCATAGAACACTAGGAAAACACACCAGTTCATACCCGAAGCTTAAAACGTCGTTGTCTAAAACACATTATTCAAGTAGGGTAAGAAGATTCAAGGACGTGCCACTAGAAAAATGCGATAACTGACATGATTGAATAACTAGTTATATATATATATATATATATATATAGAGAGAGAGAGAGAGAGAGAGAAGTTGTTCAACCTTACATACTGTGATTCATGTCCAAGGTGATTGGACAAGGTGATTTGTCAATGATTATTTTTAAGTTTAAGCCACCTGGTTAAAGTTTCAGTCGAAAACACCGATACATTCAATTTTTATGCTCTTCGTATTCATTACTAACTGTGACCGGTTTCAACATAGAACTTTGCACTGATGTGCAGCAGTTCGTGTCGCTGCACTTCACTTGAGAACACTTTTGAGCCATATCACCAATTTTCTCTAGCATTCACTGGTATTTACTGTCCCGAGGACCCTAACCAAGAAATCTACACCTTCTTTCATGACTTAAACTAACTGTTGTGGATTTAATTGATTGCGTGTTTTGGTTTGACCACCACTAGCTAGCTCATTTCCAACCTGGTCCATCCTATGTTAGTCAGCTAACATTTCCCATTGTTGAGGAAAGTGGTCGATGGTTAAACATGCATGCGTGTAACATATCTCCTAACCATCTCAATCGATGCAACTGCTTCACAACCTCGTCTATTGATTTTCCCCTCCTTACCTTAGTATTCTATTATTTCCTGTCTTAATATTATGAACTAAGTCAATCGTACACGGATGTCAGCAGGTGCATACGTGCCCCTTCTAGCTAGCTGTATAATGGAGGAGGGGGGATTATCATACTTTTTTTCATCTTTTGTCATTTGTACATTGGCGTTTTCCATTATTTTATTCATTCTAGGTCGAGGCTCATATATTTTCGAAATCGATGGTAGCAGATTAGTTGAATTGACTATAGCAATTGAACAATTCACCGCTTTACGGTATAATTCTAATCTAAAACCAGCAACATCTGCAGAAGCTGCCCAACTGACTGTTGCAGCACAATCCGCTTTAGGTACAAGTAGTTTCAATCCAGTGGATTGTTGTAATAACATTTTTCGGAGTAATCCAGTGTGTGCAATTCAACCTAACGGTTGTATTGTCCATGATGATGTGAATAATATTGCCTCTTCATTCTCCTCGGATACAAGTAGTAATCCACGGTCGATATCTCCGACTCATCATCATCACCAGCAGCAACAGCTGCACCGAAATCAACAACAACACCAACAGCAGCAACAGCAACAACAAGAACAACAACAGTTGAGAAAAAGGCGTAGTCGTGATAGTATATTTAATCCATTGAGAAAAATTTCCTCTGGTCATCATCATAATTTTAATCTTTTCAATAAAACAAACGATTATCAACAAGCCTCAACTATTGATCGTATTCCAAATAAACAAGTTAGTATACCACCACAATTGAACAGTCAATCCTCTGTGCCTGTTATGATGAATTCCAAGTGTAGTTGGAGTCTACAGAGAACTTCTTCACTATCTCCACCAGATATACTTACTACTAATGATTTAGTCGGAGATATGTATAATTCTAATTCATTATCAAGATCAACTGCTACCACTAGTAGTATCAGTGCGGTACAGGCTGCAATCTCAGCTATTAAAAATATTCAAGAAGGTATGTGTCTGCACATCACTACTCTTTTATATTGTTGTTATATGCTTCTTATTGTTATACACTCTTATATTAATATTCTCATCTGGATGACGTATTGATCCGTAGGGTGTTTTGTTTCAGCTGTCTGTGTGTGTGTGTGTGTGTGTGCAAATGTCATCGTCAAGTGGTGTCTAGTGGATATAACGCTTTGCCTGGTGTTTGAAACTATGGGCACTGGGTTCGAGTCTCGCTGTTGGAGGAACATCATCACTCAGTGACTGGGGAATACAAGTACATCCAGCTGGCGGACGATTCCCGAAAAAATAAGACGAAATGCGCGTTATCCTACCTGGATTCCACTGGTAGTCACCATCCAATCAATTAAAGTCATCGTCAGATGTCTGAAAGATAAAATAAGATCATCATTTACACATTCCCAGTGGAACATTGGAGTACCTTCGAGCTAGAGAGGCTTGAAGTTCCAGTAGCAATTGGTATAGCTTTTTACGGGATGGGGTTGTGCTAGCCAGTCTCCTGCACCACCCCCCGCAACCTTCTCTATTTACCAGTCCGAGTACTTACTGGTTTGGCGAGGTAAAGGAGTGCGCGTTTGTGGCTGGGGGATTGAACCTCGCACCATATATGAGCCGGTGGGGGTTGGCGAGCATTCTACCACTATGCCACGGACTCTTGGAAGTGATTAGAAATCAGGTATGTTAGTTAAGAAAAGTGGAATAGAAAAGACCAACACAGAGCCTCCCTACACTTTGCCCCCATTTTCGCAATATCAGATAACGAAAAAGAATAAGCGCAACAAAGAACCCTGGGAACAGTTCAGTTGAGAACCTACTACTCTACAAAAACAAAAAAAGTGGAGATGGATCATCGGACACACACTGAGGACACCGTTAAGTAAGTAGTAGTGAGATCACGGTCAGGGTCGTCGTCACTCGAGTGGAACCCCCCGAATGGGAAACAACGAGTCTGGTTTGAGTCCGAGAGTAGCTACCATTTAGGAAATCGTGTGAGGTGGAGATGAGACAGTCAAAGGGCAATCGTGGGTCCAGATCAAGAGGGACTTCATCAATCCTTCGTCTGTGTTAACGACTCTTGTGATGAATACATTCATCGTATTATGTAGTATTATTTACAAATTCTACCCACATGTATGAACTGAACTAAACTGAATTTCCAGCGTACAACTTTACACACCAAAGGTTTTCGACATTTCAAGTATAAGAGAAACGCAAAGAAACTATCAGCCAGAAGATTTAAAATCAAACAAATAAAGCAGACATTACCAGTTAGAGTACCTACCCTTCCCCACCCTTCCCCACCCCCAAGAATTTGTTCAGAAATGTATGAAGATTTATAGAGAACATAAGATTAATAGAGAAAACGATAAAAACAACCTAAATAATATAGAATTCAAAGCTCTTGCTCTTGTAGTACTGTCATATAAAGCAAGGACCTCAGCAGTGGCCCTTACTCAGGATTCTCAATTTGACATATATACCAACCATCCAACCAACCAACCAAATCTCTGCCGACTTGAGGATCCAATAGATCCAATTAGGAAAAAAAATAATATAATTTATCAAATACCATGTAATGACCATTGATGAGGTCAATTACATATGCGGAATTAGTAGTACGTCAGGGTCAACCAGATTATTTGGTACATAAAAATTTAGCTAGACGTGTAGAATAATTGACCCTGCTAAGTTGTTTAATAGCCTAGAAAAAGCTCAGCGATCGCATCTCGCATTCACTTGTTTGTAATCATCTGAAAATAGGGTGGGACAGGATGAGAGTATTGAAAAGGAATGCAGTTAGGTGAGGAGAGATAGAGTCTGTCTGGATTCAACATAGAACTTGGCACTGAAGTGCGGCAGTTCGAGTTGTCACGTTCCAAATAGCACTTAGTGAACAGACTGAAGAGAAAGTGAAGAGCCATCAAGTAAAGGAGTTGTATCAGTGGAAGGAAGGCAAGATAATAGAGATGAAGATGGGTAAGGATTATTAGAGAGGTTTCGTGTGCATTTCGGATTGTGAGGACGATTGTTATTTCCCGGCTGCCCACACCGTGGAAGTGGGTTGCGTGACCAGGGGACAACTGTTTGAGGCCGGTCACACGCGGCCTGTTTTTGTTTGTTCATTTTTGTTTGGTGTGTCTCAGTAGCATATTTATCACTTCTGCCCTGTGACACGCCACCAGGAAGCGCGGTCGTTGTTAATCCGGGCCCCGACCGATCCGCCATGATATTTTGTCAATTTGTTTGAATCATAGTATTGGAGTGGGTAGCTGCTTTTTGTCTAGCCGCTATCCAAACAACCTTTCTAGCATGGTAGGACCTCAAGCGACATAAGTCTCAGTCGGTAAAGCTTGTTGGGTCATTGGGGTGTTCAAGCCCGGCCACCACGTCAAGGTAGCAGCTTTCGGTCGGGGGAGAGATAGAGGCTAATCCCTGAAGCTTTGTTTATCGATTCAACGCCGTACATTTGCAGTCGTAATGACACAACGCCTATACCGGAGATATGGAAAGTGCTGACAAACACCAAAGGGAAGTTGGAGAGACAGAAAAAAACATCTCTGTTAACCGCTCTAAGTTGGGATTTGTGAATGCACTGACACCTGATCAACCTGACTGGACAGTTTTTAATTCGTCTATTTATGGCTTGATTTTTTGACGGACTGCAATGTCTGATTTGTGTATGTGACACTGAGGTTTGTGTGCTAAATGTTGTTGTCGGTCATCGTCGTTGTTTTTCTCTCCCCAGTCTGGCGTTTTTTTTGTGTATCTTCTTGTGAGGGATATTTTCAAGTGATTAATTGGTTATAGTATCTTGCGTCTTTGGGTGCATTCTAGTCAGGTTAGGTGAACCGACCCTACAGTAACGTTGTGTTGTCACAACACCTCCCTACGTTGGCGGATAATCTATTATTTAAATACTATCTTGTGGCTGAACCACTGATTTTGCTGTGAAAACAACCTACTGTTTACTATTTGTCTGTTTTCGACATAGAACTTTGCACAAATGTGCAGCAGTTCAAGTCGTCACAATTCATGTAGCACACAAAGCAAGAGAAAAACAAAAAAAATCCGACCGATAGCTGCTACCTTGACGTGGTGGTCGGGCTTGCACATCGCGATGACCCAACAGGCTGCACTGGCTGGAACCAATGTTCCTGCAGGTTCTACCATCCCAGGAAGGTTGTTAGGATAGCGATTAGACTAAAAGCAGTTACTGGAATAGTGTAAGAAGTTTCTTTTATACTATGCTCGGGGTCTGTGGGCGAAGTCGTACTGCTGGGGAACAGGGATGTAACAGCAGTAAGGTGTTTCCTGAAGGTCAGGCGACTAGCATTTCAGTCACCTATGCTGTCTCTCGACTCTGGAGAGAAGAGGTTAGAAAAGGTCGACCTCAAAAATTATACATCCCGACTTATCCCGCCTAGGGTGGTCCGTAACCGGCGGTAAGTTTACTAATACAGAACCTATTCAAGAAACCAGTTCGCACAGGTCGTATATAACCGGCGTCAAGCAGTTGTCCCAGTTGGGCTCTGCGGTCATGCAATACTCTTACTGTTTCAGGTACCCGAAGAATCAATCAACTTCCACGGTGTGGGTAGCTGGGAAGTAACAACCGCGCCCACACACATACACTTCCAAAAGCACACGAAGCCTTCCTGAGCATCTACTGTTTACTATCCCTAAATACGCCTCCAGTAGTGTTGATCACTATCACTGATATCTGGTCATACATCATTGAGTTTTGGAGCCCCCCTCATAGCTTTATCTACACACGTCCAGTGAGTGACACTAAGTGACACAAGGCTTGTTGTTTTGTTGTTTTTCTAAAATCATTCAACAACTCTTTTCAATGATTTTAGTTGAAATGTTAGTTGTCGTTGTTGTTGTTGTTTTCCGCTTGTTTGTCTAGTGTGATTCTTCTTCTCATCACAGTAGTCATCATTGTTGTCAGTGTTGATTCTCTTATTTACTTACTTACATCGTACTTTACTGCTGTTGTGTGTGTGTGTGTGTTGTCTTGTGTTAGACCTAAGGATTGGCTAATCATGTGTGTATGTATGTGTGTATGCGTATTAAATTGTCGCCAATGTTTCGATTGCTGACACACGCTATGCCATCTTCCTCTCCACAATCGTGGCTGGCTAACTAGCTAGCTACTAGTGGCATTATTAGCCGTAATAGTTAAACAAACCACTGAGCAGAGCACAACACAGAACAGAACACCAAATTACAAATTACACCAACGGTAGTTAGTCACTTAGTTAGTTAGTTGGATGCTTTAGCTAGTTAGCTAGAGAACAAACAAGTCAACTTTTCTGTATTGTAGTGTAGTGTTCTCGTCATGTTTTTCTTCCTTTTTTCTCGTTGTTTTCTTTCCGTGTGTGTGTGACTGCGTGTGCGCGCGCATATGTGTTCAATCACCCACCCACCTGCTAGAAAGAGATTGGAAAAATTGATTGTTTGTGCCTATTATCATTATTTATATACAATAGACCTTTAAAGCAAAAAGAGAAAAGAAAAATCGTTTTGCTTGTTTACAGTGTAACGGCGACAACATGGACGACGAGGAATCTTTCTGATTGTTTCATTTTTGTATGTGAGATTGTCATTTTTCTGTTCACCCCCACGCCACGCCACGTCACCCCACCCCCTTATTTTTTTATTATAATAATAACAACAAAATAAGTAGTCAATTTCTTCTTCTTTTTGCGTTCTAATACATCGTGTTGTTCATAAGTTTTTTTTGTTATTGTTCTTGTTGTCGTCGTCGTCATATATTCAAATCAATCAATGTCAATATATTCTAATTTGAGTCGTCCTCCACAACAATCATGTGTTTATATCACACTGTACTGTCACATACATCAGTTACTTGTAGTATCTACTTTTCCATGCATTAGCAGTAGTAGTAGTATTGTGTGGCGCGTGCTACTGACACAAGATTTATCAGTAGTATGTTTTCAGAGACGTTCATCAGTGGAGAGATAGATTTGACGTCAAAGAGGTGGGAGCGGGGAAACCAGTGTGAACCAGTATTGCGGCGAAACATGGGGGAGACACGGGAAGAAGACAGGAAGTACCACAACAACATGGAGGATCTGTGCAAATCACAATTTTTTAGTAGATGCTATATACATTTTTATTTTTTTTATTTTTGATTACAGCTTGATTCCACACTGTATTTTTGGTACAAGTATGGGATTTTCAGCATGGATATCGGTAGCCCAAATTTTGCAGGCCGACCATAGATATCAGGTGTGCGTCGTCAGGGGATCGAACCATGTGCATGGTCGGCGAGAGTCTTAACCACTGTGCCACTGACGCACATAATTTCCCTATATATATGTGTGTACATCAAATTGCCAATAAATATTGCGTTACCAAACACTGTTGCATTCGGTGTCTCTGCCTTCGAACAAATATGCAGAGATCCCATGGTCTGCTTCTTTCGTTAAATAGTGCCGAACAAAAGAACAACCACAAAACTAATTTTACATGATGGTTAATGACGGGACAATTTTTAATAATCATAGTGATAATATAGTCGGACCCAGTAGATGTACAAAGAAGGATTAGAATAAAGAATAAAAATGTAAGCCAATGATAATAGTTTTAAGCAGCTAAGTATGTTTAAGAAGGTTGTTCACTATAGAGTACAACTAAGAGAGTGTAAGGGGGAAATAACAAGGGCCAAAATTATGTTATTAACACCAAAGCAAGTCATAGGTTTCACGCCTAACATTGTCTCTGTCACTTAGAACACGGGCCAAATATGATATCGTTGAGTTCCTATACTTGGTTGTGCGAGCATATATTATTTTATTCATTGTTAATGTACTAACTGGATGCAATACTGTAGTAAAATGCTGAGAATTCCATTCTGTATCGCAAGTACTGTTTTGGAATAAAGCGAATTATTATTATTATCATTCGCGCGGCCAGCTGTTGACCCCGAGTTCCACCCAAGCAGGTGAATCTACTGTAGGTCTTCCAGTGTCACGGTAGATATCTCGTTCTTAAAAAAAAAGCAAGCATTCAAGAAATGACGGCAATGTGTATCGGTGAATATGTGAAGAGAATCGATGTCGAATGCTTTTGAGAAAAGAAAAAAAAGCATCCTGGTCCATTCACCCTATCATCTTTAAGAATGACTATAATCTGCATCAGTGATACAATTTTGACGGTGAACTAGAAACATTCTTATTTATCGATAAAAACATGAAAGTAAAACAACAACTGTCTGAAAGAGAATCTATACAGTGTTGCTGGAGAAAGTGCTCTGTATGAATGTTGAAATTGTGAAGGTAAGATACGGTGAATGAGAATCTGAGCATTTTTTCAGCTGTGATCTTATAGGTCAATTTCTTTAGTTGGCAAATGGATAGGTGGTTGTATGAAGGAAGGAAGAATTGTTGCTTTTGGGGGGGGGTATTTATAAATTCATTTCGTCTTGTGGTGCCAGTTATATTGGCTGCACAAAAAGCATATTTTCTAAGTGCATCTCTGGACACTATCTCTAGCATAGTTATCAAGATAACAGTACAAGTCAGTTTAACGATTCAACTCTCGAGCAGCACCTGATGAACTGAGACTACTCAGTGGAGGCCTCTTAAAATCATCTACAGCCTTGTAAGGTCAAAAAAGTACAACAGGTGTTGTTAGGTTTCAGCTATTGTGTGTTCCGGAAGTGTTAGCGATTCATCAGCGCAAGGTTTGTTCAGACTCTTATTCTATCATGATCTTCAACTCCTTCCAACTTGCTTGTCTGCCTCTATTTTTTCAGCAAAGTGAATTCACTGTTGGCTCTTACATATCCCATTTTGTATTATTATTATTATATCCTTTAATTCATAGGGGAACATAGGGTTCCAGCCGCCCAAGTCTCCATTGCGTTCGGTTTTCTGCCAACATTTTCACCCCGCTCCAAGTCTGCCCACATTCTTTCATCTCCTCTTCACATGACCTCCAAGTCACCCTTGCACTGACAACCATTTTGTACATTTTACTAATTAGTTTCTATTCTTGTTCTCGCTTTATTTCACCCTCGTCAGATGGACTCTCAATCAACTTGCTTCTCATCTAGCAATAATTGTTACTTTATCAGATTCTACCCCTGTCGTTTTCATTGTGTGGTTGGTTATTATGTTATCTCTTCTTAACTTGATCTGTATCAATTATGTCACCCACACACGTACACACATACTACACTGTTACTCACTAATGAACAACTACTAATGTAACGACAGAAGGCAAGAGTCAGGCAACAGATCATTTATTAAGGAAATCAACACATATTTATAGATTTTCATGCACATTATGATAGATTATTGTTAGCAGAAAAACACAGTCTTCTGATTGGTGGTTGTTTCTCACAGAAAGTTAACCTTGCATATCTTTGTGACCGTCTCTTCAATGTCAGATCATATATATGTTAACTGTATCCGCCTACGCAAAGTCTTTGTTCATATTTTCTCACGACCAATATTGCGGACATAAACATTGACGTAAATTACTGCCTACTAATTTTGGCTGGCTGCTTGCTCTAACCACACTACTATACAGTCTGTACAACCGTAGAAGGTATCTTCCTTGGTGATTGAAAGAGAGCTTTATTCTCTGGATTGTCGTTTACTTTATCATTGTTTTTTTTGTCAATTACAACTTGCGCATAATGGAACTAACACCCATATGATGAGCGCATCGTAACAACCAAGTTTGTAGTCAGTTACATAGTCTGTCTGTCTGTTTTCGACATAGAACTTTGCAAATATCAGCGGCAGTTCAAGTCGCCACACTCCATGTAGCACACAAAGCAAGAGAAGAAAGTAGAAGAAATGCATATTAGAGACCCTGACCGAAAGCTGCTACCTTGACGTGGTGGCCGGGCTTGAACACCCCAATGACCCAACAAGCTTTACCGGCTGAGACTTATGTCGCTTGAGGTCCTACCATGCTAGAAAGGTTGTTTGGATAGCGGCTAGACAAAAAGCAGCTACCCACTCCAATACTATGATTCAAACAAATTGACAAAATATCATGGCGAATCGGTCGGGGCCCGGATTAACAACGACCGCGCTTCCTGGTGGCGTGTCACAGGGCAGAAGTGATAAATATGCTACTGAGACACACCAAACAAAAATGAACAAACAAAAACAGGCCGCGTGTGACCGGCCTCAAACAGTTGTCCCCTGGTCACGCAACCCACTTCCACGGTGTGGGCAGCCGGGAAGTAACAACGGCCCACACACTTCCAAAAGCACACGAAGCCATCCTGAACATCATTCCCCTTCAGTTACATAGTAGAGTGTGTGTGTGAAACGTTTACACACTCATTATGCGTGTAAATTCACTAACAATTCACACGAATGGATAATACGAGGTAAGATTATAAGGGATTGATTGTATTGTAAACTTAATCCTGTGCCACTGATCATAAACAGTCTTACATCAAAATGAAGGCTGAAATAGCATCGTACCTCCCTCCCTCTCTGTCTCCCTTACATATCATTCCAGTTCGTGATGAAATTCACTTTGAAAAAAACACAACTAAAACTAAGGATTAATCGAATAATTCTAATTGTTTGTTTTGGTTTTTATTTTCTCTCTCTCTCTCTCAATTTTTAACTTCACATTGTGTTGTCTTTTTGTTGTTGTTTGCATTGACCTTAACTTGTCATCTTATCGATTTACACAATTGTGTTTTTTGTGGATAGTTGTTATTATCCGGATAAATATGCCTGTGTGTGCGTGCGTACGTGCGTGTGTGTGTGTCTGTGTATAAATAGAACTGGAATTTTTTTCCATAGAAATTTTTAGAAATTTGCACAGAAGTGTTCAGATGGCCACCACACAAAGGTAGAGGAATGGAAAAATATCAAAAGAACCAATCAATAATGGGTAGAAATGTCCGGGAGAAGGAATAATAATAAAAACATGGGGGGGGGGGTTAATGGATCCAGGAGACTGCAAAAGAGTGAATGCATCTGCGCCAGCTACTGAGAACAATTTCGATCCATATCACTACCAACAGTTTTCCACCATGGGTTCTTATCTTATCTTAAGGCTCTCAACTAGGCAGTGTACTTCTCCCCATGTGGCTCAAAACAACTGTCAGAGACACTCATGGATCAATGACAGGTATTGATATGAATACAACTAACTCTTTTGCTGACGTCGTGGTCCCATGTCAGCTAGCATTGCCCATTGTCGAGGACAGCGGGTAGCTTGGCATGTATAACACACGTGCCCTACCCATCTCAATCGAATTAGGTTCACAGCCTCATCGATTTTGCTTACTCTGCCTACCTTACACTGAGTACTAATCATCATATTATGCAATTTAACACAAGAAGTAGGATGCTGACATCTGTGTTCAAAGATAGCTAACCTTTTTTCAATGGCCCTGTCTCCTAGTTACTAATAAATGGAGGGTAAAGCAAACTGATGAGTAGTAAGTACCCCTGTCCTTTCATCGGTAGTCGGATATTTTATTTTATTATAGCTTGACTCCATATAGTATTTTTGATACAAGTATGAAATTTTCAGCATGTGATATCGGTAGCCCAAATTTTGCAGGCCGACCATTGATACCGAGTGTGCGTCGGCCGGGGATCGAACCCCGGTGGACGATGTGCATGGTCGGCCAGAGTCCTAACCGCTGTGCCACCGACGCACTCTACTCCATAAATGATGATGTAATTTGGTAAACACCACATGTGTCCTTTGATTTATTCTCTTTGTATCCCATATTTCACTTCATTTGTTTTGTTCCCCTTCTTCCTCTTGTTCTAGGCAACAACAGTCCAATTGATATTGCCAATTTATTGACAAAATCTTTACAAAATCATGATGTTAGTAGCCTACCCAATCATCAAGATCCATCTATTTGTTCTCATTCTCCATTATTTATTGGCACTGGTGTTGTACATGGCGGCGGTGTTCAACCTCATCATCATCATCATCATCACCACCACCACCATCATCCTCCTCATCTCCCCACCTCATCGTATCGTCTGAATGATGATACGCCTACTCCGTGTTCATTATCAGCATCACTGACGGCGACATCATCAACAGCAACAACAGCGTCTGGATATGATTTAATCGATAATATGTCGGATACAAATTATTTCCTTCATGATAATGTACAAGTGGCTAAAGTTGCAGCTGGTTTAATTATCTCTAAAAAACCACCGTATTATTATAATAATAATAACAATAACACAAGTAATCCCAACAATAGTGTATGTGCATATCCTACACGTACTACTACTACCACATCAATTTGTGCAACATCTTTCTCCACTTCAATTACTGGTCATCGACAAGCACCACTTCTTCCTCCACCGCCGCCTTCATCTCGTCCTCCTCCTCCTCCTCATCACCACCAACACCATCCCCACTCCCACCAACATCAACGTTTGATTTTTGAAAATAATCAATCATCAACTGGATGTAATACAACTGCAGTACTACCATCAGTGCCTATACCATCTATTATTGGTACTGATATTAGTAGTACGCATAGTGGTATGCAGCAGCATTCTTCATCTTTACAGTCGAATGAATGTTGTAGTAGTGGTAATAGTAGTAATCGATTACAGTTCAGACAACCATCACGGGATCAACAATATCATCATATCAGTTCATCAAATCCTATTTCAACTAGTCAATTATCGGATTCATTATATACATCAAGTTCAGATTATTCGAATTATGGTCTTGTTAATTCGTTAACTACTACTGAATCAACATTGGATCAAGTTGACAATAAAAGAGACTCTGGTGTTACTTCTCAACCTGCTACTATGGCTACGACTGCTGCTGTTGCTCCTAGCAGTAACAACAACAGTAATGTTAATCCTGAAGTATTTACAACCGATGAAGATTACTGGGATTTACGTACTACTAGTAGTAATAGTAGTAATCAGTGGAAATCTCAACTGTATTCGTCGAAAACAAGTCTCACTGGTGTGGATGGTGATTGTAGTGTAGCGAAAAAATCGAATTATTCATCTGTAATAAGTAAGTTAATGTGTTTATTACCCCTACTGCTTTCCTTCTCACCATCTTGTGTTATTTTTTTATTTTATTCCTTTATGTTCCCTGTGTGAGGACTGAGATATACTGCCCGGGTGCCCAAGACCGAAGCGGGTGGTTTTTTTAAGGGATCACCCCCCTCCCCGAGCCTTTGACTTGGAGTCTAATCTACAAGGCAGGGGAACAGTGTCACCGGTAACCAATATATTAGTTCATCATACACTATTTGATCCGTCTGGATTCTCGAACTGGTAACTGCTATTAGTTTAACCACTATCCTAACAATCTTCCTGACACATGGTAGGGCCTGCAGAAACATGAGTCGTCCCAGCCAGTTTAGCTTGTTTGGGTCACTGTGGTATTTAAGCCCGACCATCACGACAAGGTAGCGATTGTCGTCGGCATCGGGGTTGCTGGCCTCATGCCCAACCTTCTCTCCTTACCAGTCTTATTACAGGCTTATTGAGGTAAAGGAATGCGTCAGTGGCCGGGGATTGAACCCCGAACCACATTAGGCAGCGTGGTTGGCGAGCATTCTACCACTGTGCCACAGACGCACAAGGCAATTGTACTTACTATCCCCTAGAATTACACGTCATATATGTAGCTTATAAAGCTTAGTAAGTGAGTACAGTGTATAATTTGCCGATTTATGAATGAGAAAAAGAGTATACATACTCATTTTGGTCTGATCTTCAAAGAACTGGCCACAAAGAGATACTTATAGACGACAGATTAACTTTCAGCGAGAAAACAACCAATCAGAGGACGCTGTTTCTCTGCTGCTAATAATAACGAATAATAATGTACATAAAAGCATAGGAATATCTCTTGATTTCTTCAATAAACGATCTGTTGCCTGGCTGGCCCTTGTCTTCTGTTGTTACTTTTCTAAATCTTGCTAAGCCGATAGTAAGGACGATTAAGAGGGAAGATTGGGCGTTTGAGATTAGCAACCGCACATCACCCCGTAAAGATGAAATTACTGCTACCAAAACTTCAAATCTCTCTATCTTGTTGAAGCCCTACGTTCCACTCGCGGAACGTAAAGGATGCATTATAGCCCATGTTGAGACAGGCAGGGTTCATTGACTTTAAACCACTCACCCACCCGACTTTCAGCCAATGGATCCTGCTGCACCACCTAATTCAACAGGTGCAACATCATAATGCGTTGCACAATAAGTGTGTGTAGCTCATAGCCTGCAACATAAATGACCTGTCTCTGATATTGATTTCAGTGTTTATCGTGCATTATCTTTCTTACTATTAGATAGATCTAGTTAAAACGATATTTTAACTGATTAAAAATGCCCATTAAAACTGTCCCAAAAATGGTTACATAAAATAAGCTGAATGTCAGAAAAATTAGGAAAGATAGTATTTCAAATTCATGAGTTTATAGTCTCTACTGAAGGCCAACCAGGACAGTAGTAGTGGCTGGCTGAACTTGCTTCTTTTGAACACAGAGCACTGGTTGTTTGAGGTGAATTGCAATATAGCCGCCTCTGGTGTTTGGAGCATGTGGTGCTTCGATGATGATTTTGGCAATTTATTTGACACCCGGTATAATATAGAGAAGGATTCACCTATGCTGGCTGGCTTTGTAACCGGCCGGTTTGCACTAGATGGTCCAGTATCGAGGTGTTAATGGTTTTCACTACACCTTTACTTAGCCATGCTGGGAGATGTTCTCGAGTACGAAAAATCAAGTTCCTAGAGCAACGGCCAATATAACTGGCTCCACAAGCGCAGTTGAATTGATAGATACAATTTAAAGTGGTTAGCTAGTCTAGGCACTTCATCTTTCAGTCGAGGAATCACCATCGGTCGTGTAGAGAATAAGACGTGTAGTTCGCCGCCAGCATTAAAAGTTCTTTGTACTGAATTTCTTAATTTCTTTGCAATTATCTCACTTGGTATATCGCCCTTGAATTGTAGTCGTATATAAAGTGGCTCCTTGTTTACAGATAGTGAGTAGTCCTTTTCCACCGCTTTCTTTGTCATGTGTTTCTATGTGTATTTTTGCTCTCTTTCCTTATTCTTCTCCTCTATCAGCTGATCTGCCTACATCTACTACACTGGGATCATCATCACATACTTGTTGTAAAGAATTATTTTCTAATGATACCTGTGGACTATATAAGTTGGCGATGAATAATACAGCGCATAATCCTTATTCCTTTTATTATTCATCATCTATTGAACCAGAGCAGTGTATTTATCGTCGTCGACTTCAACAATATCGTGTTTGTCTGTGTAAATCTTTACTGCGTAGATCATTTTCAGCAAATACAAATCTTCAATTAATTGATATATCAAATAAGCTACAAAATGATGATGAATATCGTACAAGCATGATGTTAAGAACTATGCGTTCATTAGACAGTTGTTGTGCAGTTACTACTACTACTACTACTACTACATCAACGATGACGACAACGGCGGCGGCGGCGGCGTCGACAACAACAAACGATGAACATAACTTGATTCATCAAAATCTATGCGGTCAGTATTCTAGATGTTGTCGAACTACAGAATCATCCAACAGTAATTCAAATATTTCAATACGTCCACCGCCACCGGCAGCTCCATTGTCTAGTGGCAAACTTCTTTGTGGTGGAGGAGGTGCAGGTGTAGGCCGTTTCCAGAGGATCCATAGGTAAGCTGTACAGATTTTAACTTTGTCTTTGTTCCAGTTGGTTAGTCATTTCATCGGGAAGATAAATTTAATGATTAATTGGTGGATGGTGACTAGCAGCGTTATCCACTAGACCCCTTTGGTGTTTGAAACTATGGGCACTGGGTTCGAACCTCGCTGGTGGGAACATCATCACTCACTGAGAAATGCAGGTACATCCAGATGACGAGTCCCAAATAGGACGAAATGCGCGTTATCCTAGCTGGATTCCGCTGCTAGTCACCATCCACCAATTAAATACTAAATGCCCAGACATTGTCGAAGCATCTGGACAAGAAGCTAACAGAAATGTCAACCTGAGACCGAGCACTTCGGTCCAGTCAATCGACGGGAAAATCGAAAATTCAATTAAATGATATACTTTCATTCAAAATTTATAGTAAACCCTTTTATTACTTCTATAACTGTTGCTTGTGATAAAATTTACTGACTGACTGACTGCTTTGAACGTAGAAATTTTCGCAGATGTGCTTCTGCAGCTCCAGTTGCCACAATACCTTCATGTAGCACACAAAGCAAGAGAAGAGAGCTTCAAAACAGAGAGAATAAACAGAAATATGAGGCAAAAGAATAATAATATGGAAGAACCATATAGTTTTATTGGATATTATGAATCACAAGGAGTGGATGCATCTGCACTAGCCATTGAGAACGACTTTGAGCCATATCACCGATTGTCTCCAGCCATCGGTGTTTACAATCGTGAGGACCCCAACCAGGAAGTCTACACCTTCCTACGTGGCTGGCTCGTTTAAACTAACTGTTGTGGATTTTGCTAACCGATGGAGCCATGTTTTGGTTTAACCACCACTAGCTAGCTCTTCTCCAACCTGACTCTATGTTAGCTAACATCGCCCATTGTCGAGGAAGGCGATGGTTAGGCATGGAAGAGTTACACAGGTCCTAATCATTTCAGTCGATGTAGCTTCAAAGCCTCATCGATTGATTTCCCTTCCCACTTACCTAGCACTCGACCGATACCTAACTTCAGTATTGCTCACCCTATTATACCACCACTTCACACGGGAGATAGAATGCAGACACCTATGATCGAAGACAGCTAGCTAGCCTTTTCATGTCTTATACTCTCAATGGCCAGGTCTCATCGCCAGCCATAAATGAGGACGGAGCGGACTGCTGAGCAGTACACCCGCCATTTGGTCGATAGCCAGCCGGATATCACGTTTACGCCAGAGACGGCGTAAACTGGCAAATGCGAAACGAGCCCCCTGTATCCGTGCTGAGATTTCTTCAGAGATCAACCTGTTGGTGTTGACTGATGATACTTCCCAAATAAGTGAAGCGGTCAACGTGCTCTACCACTTCACTCCCTAATTCTAATCTAGGAGTCGGTGTAACACGATATTAGTTATCAGTAGTTAGTGCATGTTCGACAGTTTATCAACGGATTCTCCAATCCCAGATAATAATAATAATAATAGAGAAGACTTATACAATTTTAATAATAAGGACGCTTGTGTATAGCATCCAAGAGAGAGAGGTAGAGATAATTAATAATCAAATTGTATTATGCGAAAACAAAAGCATACTATAACAACAACGACAACAAGTGCCGAGTTATTAGTAGTTGCTGTAGTGGGTATCATGCATGTGACAAGGAGTTCTGAAGTCGTTTGCTGATGATTGGTTGCTTATCTGATCGACAGAGATATAGACAGTTAATATATTTATAAAGTTAGAATAGAATCTTGGACTTGACAAGCTATCGAACCAGAGTCTCTCTGTCTGTCTTAATGTTTTCTTTGCCTGGTCATCATGACATCCGTTATCTTAATTTTGATCAGTTTCTTATTCGTCGCTTGAGAAAAGAAAAATTAACCTCAGTCATGCTCCTGTGAATTATACTCGACTAGTATGTATGTTGCTTATCTGTTTCATTCTGTGCTTTTTTTATACATTGATCGGTTATTTTATATGTTATATATCTCGTTTTCAAGTATTGGTTTTGTAAGGAAGGATTTTGTTTGATTGCATAGAGAGAGGATTTCATAATGGGCTGACATCAGTTAGAGAGAGAGAACCATTGGAAAACACACCAAGGAGTGCTGGACAGCCAGTTGTTTCGTCGGCCTAGTCTGGGACTCTTTATCAGTACGGACCCACCAAGGGCGAGAGTACTACTCATTAGTCCGCTCCGTCCTCCTTTATGGCTGTGAGACCCGGCCATTGAGAGTGGAAGACATGAAAAGATTAGCTGTCTTTAATCATAGGTGTCTGCATTCTATCTCCCGTGTGAAGTGGCATAATAGGGTGAGCAATATTGAGGTTAGGCGTCGGTCAAGTGCTAGGTAAGGAGCGAAAATCAATCAGCGAAGAGGTTGTGAAGTTACATAGACTGAGATGGTTAGGACATGTGTTACGTATGCCTAATCATCGCCTCCCTCGACGAGAAATGTTACCTGATATAGGGTCAGGCTGGAAAAGAGCTAGCGACGGTCAAACCAAAAGATGGCACCAGTCAATGAAATTTACAACAGTTAGTTTAAACGAGCCAGTCATGTAGGAAGGTGTAGACTTCCTGACTGACTGGTTGGGGTCCTCGGGACGGTAAAAACCAATGGTTGGAAACAATTGGTGACATGGCTCAAAATCGTTCTCAATGGCTAACGCAGATGGCATTCACTCCTTGTGACTTATGATTTCAAATGAAACTGTTTTGTTCTTCGTTATTACTATTCCTTTGTCTCACACCTCTGTTTACTGTCTCTAATACGCATTTCTTCTACTTTTTCCTCTTTCTTTGTGTGATACATGGAGGGATTGTGGCGACTTGAGCTGCTGCACATCGGTGCAAAGTTCCATGTCGAAAACAGATAGACAGATCGACCCACCACTAGGGTGCCAACCCAGGACCTTCTGGTTACAAGGTGACCTAGCTCGTAGGACCATTAAGCTACACTCACTGGGACCCGATCCAATGCCCTATGAATAGTATTATCAACACTACTAAATCTGTGTTTCAAACATTGATACTAATGTTGCCTCGCCTACATAAGAGAAGGCAGTTTTTGTGAAAGCTAGTCTTCTACCAATCAATCAATGTAATACCCATAAAAACTGAAGAGTTCAGGCTTTCATTGACGGCGCAAAGTGTGTATAGCTTTCAGCCAACGTGTTGTTACAGGTTCGAATCCCGCTTCACCTACTTTAGACTGGGAAATTAGGTTAGGTTTTTTGCTCTTGGCCTGTTAGGAGGGGTGTAATTTGTTCTCAGATGCGCCTTGGTTTGCAGGCGTCATCGCGAGTTATCGTTTGTTAGAGGAAATCACGGGAGTTCTAGCTCGGAATTCTTCAGCAGTAGTGTGCATCCATTTGGTTAAGGTCGGGGGGGGGAGCTCGTAGATCCTACAGCTACTAGGGATCCCCAATTCAATTGGTATTCAAACAAACGAGCCAAAATCCAAAACAAAATGTCAAGTTACTTCCAGTGTATTATTTCACTACATTCCAGTTGCCTTGTGGTCTTGTGTCTCAACTACAATCTCCTTGTAAAAGCTGGACTATTCAATAATTATACTTTATTCCTGAATCTTTCTTCTCTAATCCTAGATTATTTCAACGTAAGCATTCTCAAAGTCATGATAGTCTTCAGAGCAGAAAAAATTCAATGGATGATAGACCAGGGATATTCAATGACTCAGAATACAGTATTACAACTGGTAGTGATGGTGGTGGTGATGATAAATCAAGCTTTGATAAACCTTTACACTCTGATATGCTGCCATGGGATGGGATCGATGAACTCAAACAAGTACAACACCGACAGCAACAAGAAAAACACCTCAATGCCAGTCACACTGATAATAATAATGACAAAAGTGTTGAACTTTCTTGTCGAGTTCTCAACTGTCCTCGACATGGAATCAGACGACTTCATTGGAGCATTGATCCACAACAAATTTTGTTGTTAACCAATAACAGAAAAGTTGAAAGTCTTTCTCAATTGAAAAAGTTAATGAAATCCCGTGTCACTACTACTACTGCATCAAGCTTTGTTGTTCATGAAAAACATTCCACGCCTACAGTTCTTCCGTCAAACTCTCCAAATACTGTTATCATCAATAGCACGACGACTGCAGCAGCGGTGCACTATTCACCAGTAGTTTCTGCTCGTTGGAGGAGAAATAGGCGTACTCATCCTCATCATTATTTCACGAGGAAAATAGATTCGAAAGCTAAAGGTTTATACTTAAACGAAAACAATAATAGTGATAGTGATTTGATCACATCTCAAGCAATAAGAACCAACAACTGTCCGGTAAGTTTGATGATTGATTGATTGATGGCTGCCTTTATATGTATCATTCTTGACTGTTTGACAATAGAAGTTTTATGTGTTATCTTGGTTGACAGTAATGTACGCATGTTTCTATCTTATTCCTTTACGTTCCCAGTGGAACATAGGGCACCTTCAAAGCTAGAGACTTGAAATTTATGTAGTAGTGGCGATAATTTTTTTTATAGGATAGGGTTGTTGCTAGCCGCCTCATGCCCAATCTTCTCTCTTTATCAGTATTCCTACTGGCTTAGTGAGGTAAAGCAGGAGTGTATCAGTGGCGGGAGATTCAACCCTTGGATCACATGAGGCGACGTGGTTGGCGAGCATTCTACCGCTGTGCCATCGGCGCACGCATATTTCTTTAGTGGTGTTCAAAATTGGTAAGACAATGTATTCCCCCCAAGCATTCGTAAATGAAATCATATGAATCTACATTTCCAATGTGGAACTTCGCACAAATGCTCAGCAGTTCAAATTCCACTACACAAAGGTAGTGGAGAAATAGGGAAGAAATGTTAAGCGACTATATATAGTAAACGAAACTATGACAGGGATAGTGTAGATTTATAAAAAGAATAATGAGAGTCTAATGAATGGGGTGCCTACTGCCGATGATTCCCAAACTAGGACGAAGTATCCAGTACTCCCCGGTTTTTCAATGGTTCTCTAATAGGCCTTCTACCTCTATACTTTCGGTAGTGGTAGTGTTCTGTTGTTTGCGGAGTCGAGTCGAAGGTTAAGCCTTATTACCAACCTCTCTAGTTTACTTCTGGCTGGTAAATTACGTGATTCTTAGGTTGGGAATTGAACCCGGCCCGTGGTTCTTTGGGCCTGTGGCACATAAGAAAATATGTCAGACAAAAAAAATATTCAAGTGTTGGTTTGTAGGGATTTGATTGGTTTCAGGATTTCATCATGAGCTGACATTAGTTAGAGAACCATTGGAAAACCTGGGAGTACTGGACAGCTGTTTCGTCCTAGTTTGGGACTCTTCATCAGTACGCACCCACCGGGATTCGTGACCAGTAGGGTGCAGCGGGTCGGGTGTGAGGACAAATACTCGCCGAAGACATTGGCTAGCGGTCGCGCTATGTCGTGAATTGGCAGAAGTTGGAATTCAAGGACCATTGGATCGGGTCCCAGTGGCTTAATGGTATACGAGGTCGCCTTGTAACCGGAAGGTCCTGGGTTCTACCCCCGTTAGTGGGTGCGTACTGCTGAAAAGTCCCAAACTAGGACGAAACAGCTGTCTAGTACTCCCAGGTTTTCCAATGGTTCTCTAACTAATGTCAGTGTAACAACAGAAGACAAGGGCCAGGCAACAGATCGTTTATTATGAAAATCAACACGTATTTATACATATTTCAACTACATTATTATAGACAAGCGCAGTCATCTGATTGGTTGTTTAGGTAGACAAACGCAGGCTTCTGATTGGTTGTTTCGGGATTCCTTGACAAACAGAGTTCTCTATCTGCGAATCATATTTTGCCACGTTAACTTTGCTGTGATTGGTTGTTGACTCAGCCTTGTTCATATCTTCTCACGGCCCACATTAGTGACCTAGACCTTAACGTAGATTAGTGCCAACCAATCGGCTAGCAGCCTGCTCTCACCACATCAGCTCATGATGAAATCCTGAAAAAAAATATTCATGGATAATCCTCATCCAGGCATTAATAAAAACAATACACGTAGATCAGCGAAGAGTCTCTTTTCGGCGAATTCATTTTCTTAGCTGTACAATCGCAAATATATATGCATTGTTTTGTATGTATGTTTACATTAAGTTTGTCAAACAAAATTACAATTGGTTATGGCTATTTGAACTAAACAAGTGAAGGTTGGTAATGCAAGTCAAGAAAATTAAGTGTTAATGAAACCAGGGCAGTAACAAAGGTGATGAGTTGTCAAAAGCAGTTGTTAAAAGAAGTTATGTAATAATAATATGAATAGTTTGATGAGTGAGTTTTACTCAGGATGCACATAGAAACAAAGTAGATAATACGAAATTATGTAAGTGATCTAAATGAATACAAGAATTATAAGCAGCTAAAGAACGGGCAAAGAAACAAAATTAAGTCATCAAAATAAAAAATAAAAAAACTCAAATCAAAGCGAAACGTTGTTACCATGACAGTAGAAGTAGTTGAGTAATCTTGTTTTGTATGCACAGCTCCGGTTTTTTTATGTGATTAACCAGAGCTTCAGCGATACAAAGGAGACGAAACCGTATTGCTTTTGATAGGTTATTCGTGACTCTGCAGATTATTTCGGAGCAGGAGGCGTTTGTTGAGATGGAATGATCAGTGTTAACCAGGTGTTCAATTATCGCACTCCTTATTGCACCACTATTACCTTTTCGCAACCATGCTGGATAGTGTTCGTGAATCCTCTTGGACAGGATGTGCGTCGAACGACCGATGTACCTGGCTGGCTCCATAGCAGCAGGTGAACTGATATATGCACATAGAAGTGGTCAGATGCGCGATCTTGTCCTTGAGGCTTCTGCAGATCATTAGGCGACTGGAGAACACTATTCTTAGCGTTGCTGCAAAGAATGTTCTTCTAAGAGATGATGTGATCCTTCTCTTGAGCATATCGCTTGCTAAATCTCCCTTGAAATCCAAGTTCATGTAGAATTTATTTTTAGGCGCAATTAAAGTTTCGTTTCTCTGAATTATTGGTTTCATATTTTTGTCGATGAATCTTATTGGGTATCCACTTTGGATGAAGATTTCTCTTAGAATATCTAATTCTGTTTCCAGAACGTCGGGACTACAGATGCGTCGGATGCGGGTGGCAAGTGATTTAATTAGATTCCGCTTTTGTTGAATACATCCATTGTTGTACCTTGTTATTTTTTTGCTTTGATGACTTATCGAGGCAATAATATCCTCTACTTTAATAAGTTGTTATTCTTCTTGTTCTCCCATTTTCCTTTTTACAGCATTCTGCCAATAGTGAGATAACACATTCACTATCCCCTTTACGTAAGCATTCCTCTACATCATCAGCAATGAATCAATTGCATGGATACCATTATTATTATAATTATTATAATGCTGTATCATCATCACCAAGTGAGCGAAGTCAATCCTTGATATCGGTTAATTCATTACCATGCTCTGAACCATCTTTATCTAAAATTGATAATAACAATAATAATAATAATATGCATTCATTGCTACATATGAATTATACGGATTCAATGGAACTGTTACTCGCGCCATCACATCCTCCTCCTTCATCGATTCATAGATGGTATGATTCATCTTTGTTATTAAGGCCTACTCCTACTACCACTACTACTTCTACTAACCAACAAGAAGTAAATTCATCATCAACAGACCCTCCTACAGATCGACAATTCTATATTCTTCCAAAGTTTAATCGTTCTGTTAGTAGCAGTGTTAAGCCTTTCGCCTTGCCGTCGTCCACCTCCTCTTTCTGTAACAGTACACTACGAGCTAGTACACTACCGACAACACGAATTCTACGCGATGATGAACAGTCAATTAACGAAAACACCCTACTACTACTCACTACCGCTGGTTCTAATCATCATCGACAACAACAACAACAACATTCCTATGTGAATTCAAGACTGAATGTTGTTGATAATCCAGATAATCCACCGTCTACTACTACCAGTGGCGGCGGCGGCAGTTCTACTCATCATCATCATCAAAAATCAAATCGATTACAATCATCTGTTAGCAGTAATCTTGATCGTCTCTTGCCTTTACTACTTCAACGTACTTCTACTAATACTCGTCAAAATGCTATATCATCCAGTGTACAGGACAAAACTGGTGTTGATCCTGTTGGCGTTGTTGGTGGTTCTAATAACTCCATGCCTCGAAAATTCTCCTATCAATCCTCAGAAGTTGATTCATCTCCTCGAGTTGCGATAAACAGTAATAATAATAATAATAATTATGTGAACACTGTTAATAGGAAACAAAGAAGAAGAAAATCAATCAATGAAGAAATCAATGATAAAACAACAACAACAACACTTCAAGTTGATGAGCAGTTGTCATCTGATATTGTAAGTTTACTACTGAGTATATTCTCTGTCTGTCTGTCTCTCTCTCTGTGCGCCTCATTCACGGGATGAGATTTACCCAATTGACTCTCGAAACACGGGATTTCAACTTTTATGACTCACACAATTAAGTCATCCACTTCATGCGCATATAATATTTAGCAGACAATCAGTTCTCAATGAGAAACTATTTACTTTTTAATAAGATCTTTTAGTCAATGATCCTATGACCATTTTAATACACAACACATGAATTAAAGTGTGAATTCACTGCGCTAGGGGAAGTTAGTATGTCGACACTTCTAATTATTATTATTATTGTTTGCTTTAATTCCTAAAGGAACATAGGGCTTCAGCCGCGCGTCCCAAGTCTCCATTGTGTTTGGTTCTCTGCTAGAGTTTTCACCTGACTCCAAGTCTGCCCATACGCTTTCATCCCCTCTTCCTTCACATGACCTGCTCCAAGAGTCACCCTTGCACTGGCGAACAACTCGCCGCCTCCCTTTGAGTTGGGTTCCACTCGATCAATGGCTTGTCTAGTGAGCGATGTCACTTGCTGGCGTGTTTCCTCAGAGTATGGCCACCCAATCCATCTCCATTTCTTCCTGCCTATTGTTTCACAATCGGTTCCTGGTTAATTTGCTCTCAGAGTTCCCTCCCAGTTGCTGATCTTTTCTAGCCGGCCGTCTGATCTTGAGTAGTATTGAACGAAGACAGCTGTTAATGGAGGTCTGTAGTTTGTTTGAGATGCTCTTTATGACGCGCTGGCCAACAACTCTCTGATCCGTATAGTAGCACTAATTGACTTCACATTGCAGTTGAAAATCCGCATTCTATTTTTCATGCTGAATGAAGAGTGCTGTTGATCCCCTCCGCACAGACTTGAGAGAAATGAAAGCTTGTCTTGCTTTCCCAATCCCCGCTGCTTTGATATCCCCATCAGTTCCGTCCGCCTGTTGTTGAAACGATGCTTCCCAAGTAGGTAGGTAACTAGATGAAGGAGGCTGCTTCTTTCAGGTTCCTCCCACTTATGATGGCTGATTCTTGTCTGTTGCTGTTGGTGTTGGCCAGGAATCTTCATCATCTCTGTTTTCTCTATGTTCACCTGAAGTCCTATCTTCTCTGGATGCTTCTTCTATCGCCAACGTGTTGCTTTTCACTTGCATATCATCCAGTTTGTGGGAAATCAAACATATCTCATCGGCGAAGTCCAGATCCTCCAAGTTGTTTTTTGTGTGAGTCCATTTTATGCCTGTTTCCTCATTGCCCGCCGCTGTTTGTCTTATTATCTAATCTCGACAGCTCTACAGACGCCATTATTCCTAAAATTGAAATTTTGTGGGGAAAACACAACGCTTAAAGAATGCCGTGAGATGAGTATTCTTCGAAACAGGGTTACTTTGTCGCTTCACAAATCAAACCAATTTTACCTTCCAGAAATAAAGATAAACAACCCAGTTTATCTCTTCCACAATATTCATTTATCATTTTCGGCATATATATTCATCGTCGATTGAGCGAAGTGGATACCACTGTGGATAGCGATCATAAAGTTGGTGTCAATAAAGTGTGTTTAGGCTTATCGATCATGTTCCCAGTATTCCTAATTTTGATCTACACCAGTTCATCTTCTGCATATAACAGAAGACAAGACATCAAAATCTACCAAAAGAAGTTAAACTTGCGTGTTTATAGAAGTATTTCGTATAGTCACTCTGTTTACCCCCTTGCCTATGTTTATTATGGAATCACACAAATTCCTCATGTATATGAAACACCATCTGTAATTCATTAGTGTAGGAGTTGCCTGTAACCTCCATCTCCTTGCTTCTGACTGAATTTCCCGTTAGAATACGTGAAAGAGCATGTGGATTAGTTAGTGTCTTGTGACTTCAGAGACATACGGTTGGTTTGAAGTGGTCTTTTGAGTTGTATCTATATAAAGATCTTACGGCCGACTGGCTACAGACACCCGTAGGACAGGTCAGGATGTACAATTTTTCAACCACCCTTCTTCATAGCAGAGGAGGGAGGGGAGCAGCAAAGCTGGCTTTCCAGGTCATTTGAGTATATAATTAGCTGCCTTATTTAAACATCATTCCAATATGAATAACATATGCAATTGTGTGTAGTGTTGTTCCGAGTGACCTTGGTCGGGTCATCGTGTTTCAAAAATTAACAGTATTTTTTCAAATCAATATAAAGTTACACTGAGGTAGTGTGTGATTTACTCAGTGTTAGTTAAATAGTTTTATCGATTTCCATATTTGCTGTTATTACTATCATTTTCACAATTGTTAGATTTTCGTCATGAACCAATATTCGTCAGAATGATCATTGAAAACCAGAAAAAACTGGACAGCTGTTTTGTCCTATTTTGCGACTCTACAACAGGGCACACACACAACTCCGCCAGGGATTGAACCCGGGACCAAGCTCATTTGCCATTCTCTAATCTGTGAATATCACAGTAGTGATCACTACAAGACTCTTCAAACCTTTCGGAATTGACGTCGTACACAAACCAACAAAGTCACTTCACTCAATTCTATGTCAACGAAAAGACTCAACAGCGAAAGAAGATAAAATCAACATCATCTACAAAATAAATTGTGACAACTGAGAAAAACACTACATTGGTCAAAGTGGATGTCCCCTTCGTCTTCGTATCCACGAACATAAGCTAGCCATCAAAAGATATGACATCCACTCCCTCGCTCATATCACCTCACTGTATACAGACAACCACGGACATCAATCAATTCGACTGGGACAACCAGCGTTCAAATATTAGACAGAGGAAACACCAAGAATGCTAGAGAATTTTTGGAAGCCAGCCTGGTATTCCAGTGAATCATCAATCAATAGACACATCGAGATAGACAAAATTTACCAATCGATTAGAAGGAAATCTCTCTCTCACACACACACACACACAAAGGGTCAAAGTTGAAGTCAAGTAAACAATCAGTTCCAATACAAGTAACCTAGAAGGTGTGAAAATACAGAAAAGCAACCAATCACGTCCAAGGTCACCTATCAGGGGTGATGATTAATAAACTCGTGGAGAAATCTTAAAGCTCACTTCAACAGGTTAAATTATGCACTGAAGATTTCGCCTAGTGGTGGGGCGATGAAGGCTTCGCAAATAAACTATCCAGCTAGCTCAGAGAACACTACCACATTAAAATCGCCAATTCACTTGTGGCGGAAGTCGTAGTGGAGTTCACCATCTCACAGGGTGAAGTAAGTGGATGTTCCATTGAAGGCATTGGCTATGTGACAGCACAATATCACAAATTGATGAAGTTAAATGTACAGAGGTCATTAGATTTTTCAACCAAACTGGTTAAATGATCCACAAGTAGTAGTCTCGTAACGCGAAGGTTTCGGGTGTGCACTGCTATGTGTGGACAGTTCCAAACTAGTACGCAATAGGCTGTCCAGTTTCTCTCCCTGGTTTTCAGTAATCTCTCCAACTGATGTGTGTGTATTGGTTCATGACGAAATCCACCAATTGTGAAATGAAACTAATATGATTATTATTGTTTTGTTAAAGGATTTCATCATGAGCTGACATTAGTTAGAGAACCACTGGGACCCCATCCAATAACCCAGTGGCTCAATGGTATACGAGCTAGCTCACTTTGTAACCAGAATGTCCTTGATTCGAATCCTGGTGGGTGCGTACTGATGAAGAGTCCCAAACTAGTCTGACGAGACAGCTGACTTTCCAGTACTCCCAGGTGGTTTTCCAATGGTTCTCTAACCAATGTCAGCTCATGATGAAATCCTGTAACCAAATCAACCAAATCCCTACAGACAAACCAACACTTGAATACTAATTGTTTTGTCAAAAATTGACTTCGAACTGTACAATCATGCTTATTTCACTATTTCCTCACCTCTATTTTATATATATGTCAAGTATTTATTTGTTGAAATCAAGTATTATTGTATTTAGTATGGCATCATGAGTTGTTGTCATTTGTGCTCTCTTTTGTATACTTGACAGTGAATTATTATTATTATTTGACGCTTACTGCTTATTTTCTGTTTGTTCCTTTTTTTGTCTTCTTTCACATTTAGCATACTTATAATAATTTGATTCGACTACAAGAATATCCAACTTCTATGATAATAAATGATGACAGTACCGTATTACACGGTTTAAAGTCTATTCCTCCGACATCTTTATCGTCTTCTTCTGTATACGATCCAACAACATCCCAATTTCTACACTTAACTATTCATGAAGAAAATGGTACTAGTTGTCAAAGTCAACCACCCTCCTCCTCATCGTCATCATCATCATCAACGACTAGTTATGTCAATTTCCCTGGATTTTGGTCCAATCTTCATTCGACTACAAGCGCATCTAGTGTGGCTGCTTCGGTTTCTGCTATTACATCATCATCATCAATGGAGAATCGTTTATATGCTAATTTAATGCATAAAACAAATCAAAAATATACAAAGCATTCTAATAATAATATTAATAACAACAGTAAAGGTACATTATTAAGTCAGCTACCAATGAATAACGCTCACTGTGATATAACTACTAGTGCTGGTCAATCATTATTGTACACTGGTGGTGAAATACTTCATCATTCAACAGACAGTCATTATTTACCACAGGCTACTACTACTGCTACGACTATAAATCTACTGAGTAAATCGAATAATTCACCTGGTCCTACTATTTCTTTAGGTGGTAGTAGTAATCTTATGCCATCTTCAACATCTCAGTGTTCTTGTTGTTCACCAGTTGGAGGAGTTTATCTACCAGGAGCATCACCAGCACCACTGCCCCCGCCATCCGTAGTAAATATGCCTACAGAAACTGATTATTCCTGTTTACCCGCTGAGGTAGGTAATTTCATATGAAATATTTGTGTGTGTGTGTGTATTATTCTACTGTATTCCATTGTATAATTTTATGTTATATATGCAGTACTAAACAAGCCAGAGAGGCTTTTGAAGCTTCGGTAGCAGTAGTGTTTTTAATTTTTTCCGGGATGATAGACGGGGTTGCTGCTCTAGCCGCCTCATACCCATCCTTCCCTCTTTACCAGTCTTATTACTGGCTTATCGAGTGAGGTAAAGGAGTGGCGTCTGTGACCGGGAGATCGAACCCCAAACCACATGTGTGTGTGTGTGTGTGTGGTTGGTATGTCGGTATTTGATTTGTTTCAGGCTTGACCATGGATCGATATCAGTTAAAGAGAACCATTGGAAAAATCAGTCCTGGAGTTACTGGATAGCTGTTTTTTTCATCCTAGTTTGAGTCTCTTTACCAAGCCCCTCCGCTTGTCAGCTACTACTGGGATCCGACTCAATTGCCCATAAGTAGCAACATCTACACTGATATCAATCCATGACATTTGTAATAAAATGACTGCCGTGAGAGTGCATAGGTAGGTAGAGGTGTACTTGGCTTACACAACAATGTTGTCACTGTTTGAAGTCCACTCTGCGTCTACGATGTTGGGAAAAAGTTATGGGTGGCCAAATGGGAACCTGGCATCTATCTATAAACTTTTTGACAGTTGATTTAATCCATGTGGGGTTCCTCGAGATACTAAGAGCCAATGACTAGCTAGAGGACTGTCCGTGATATGACTCAAATTTGATTTTAAGGTGCTACCCCAGTGTTCGCTTAAATATATAGCTAGCCAGAAATCCGATGCTTTGAAATTATTCGGCTCTCTCTCTCTTTCTCTCTACCTTGAACCAAACCTGAAGGGAGGAGGAGCACCACTGATAATAATAATAATAATGATCTCGGTCTAAATCAAGCGAAATGCCCGTGTCCGATGCTTAGATCACTTCGACTTGGCTAGTTAAACACTGTTAGTTGATGTGAGTGGTACACAACTGCCCATCTCAATCAACTCCACGCGTTTATGCTTGCTTTCTTGTTTATCATTTATGGTATCGAGCAGTTCGCAAATATATTCAAGTGTTAGTTTGCAGAGATTTGATTGGTTACAGGATGTCATCGTGAACTGAGATTGGTTAGAGAGAGGAGGACCGTTGGACAACCGCCTGGGAGAGTACTGGACATCCGTTTCGTCCATCAACCACCAGGTTTTGAACCCAGGACCTTCTGGTTACTAGGCGAACTAGCTCGTAGACCATTAAGTCACATGGACCCCCTATCCAATGGCCAACACATGAATTGCAACTTCTGCCAGCCAATTCATAATATGGCGTGACCACTAGCGAATTTCATCGTCGGAGAATATTTGCCCTCACACCCGACCTGCTGTAGGTATTAGTCCACTGGTCATGTCTTCTCAATAGAATCTAGGTAACTACCCACCTGAATAGGGCAAGTCGCTAAGTGAGCATCTCATTAATATTCAAGTGTTGCTTTGAAGGGATTCGATTGATTGGTTTCAGGATGTTATCGTATTCTTTTTGTTGTTTTCGTTGTTTTTTATAAAGGTTCGTGATCCTAGTCGTAATTATGCAATGGTTGATTTACGACCAAGTCCAGCTAGTTCAACTCTTCCACCAACTGAATTAACTTTGAGCATAAATCATCAACACCATCATCATATTAATGAGCATACAAGTCAATCATGCTCCTCTTCATCAATTGATGACAGTATTTGCAGTAATAGTGGTGCCAGTTTAACACATAATGGTAGTAATAATAATAATAACAATAGCACTAGTACTACGGGTAGTGATTGTACTAGTGATGCAGCCACTTTAACCTCAGATACTATTGAAAATTATTCAACAGTCTGTAATCCACCTTGCGAATCATCATCATTATCATGCGGTAATAAGACAATGAATAATAATAATAATACCAGTAAAGTAAAATCTAAAATCTCTTCTATGGATACAGATTCATGCGATCGTTTTATGCTAATGAATAATACAATGACATCACGTCGAAGGCATAGTCATAGTTTATCGTCATCGTCAATGACAACAGATCCACCACCACCGATATTAAATTATGTTCATGTGATTGCAGCTGCTGGTGCATCAAATACACGTTTCACTTCAACTGAGACAGCACGATCCTCTGATCCTAGTTCAGTATCTGATCCTAATCATATTGGTAGTGTTGGTGTTGGGGGTATAATCACTGAATTCGGTAATTCACCAAGTTCTAGTAGTGGATTAGGCGGTGTCACATCACAATCGAATGCATCTTCGTTAGCTGCACCAGCTTCATCCACTTCATTCGGTGATATCTTTTCATGCAGATCAATGACATCCTCGGGTACGTCGTCTGTAGAAGGTGGTAATAATAATAATACTAATACTAATCCAGAGATGATGATGGTGATGGCGGCGACGACGACAGATTTGTCAAGTTGTTCACCGTCAGATGATAACTGTGTCATTTATACACAAATAGATTTTACACGGACAATGGCATTAGGTGAATTATCGAATGATATAATGGCACAAGAGAATCAAACTGCCAATAATATTACTAATAATATCAATAGTAATAATAATAGACTATCTTCATCAATGATTGCTTCACGTAACAGTACTATTACTAACATGAGTAGTACTAATAACAATAATAATACTGGTACAACATCGTCTTCTTCTTCACGAAATAAAATTGATCGTACTACTTCAGTTAAAAAGACTTTGTATCGATCGATCCGTTTGATTGGGGGGCGAGGATCACGTAAAAAAGTCGGCTAATTACGATGATTATAAAGATGAATTTGACCCTCATTATGATTATTGTTATTAATATTAATTATTATTATTATGATTACTAATATTATTATCATAAGTTTTCCCACCCTTACTGCATTTTATAAATTACTCTCTTCTGACTGTGAATATTGTGAATTGTTTATTTTTCACCAACCTTTATTTAATTTAATTTAATTAACTAATTTATTTATTTATTTATTTTCATTTGAATTAATGCTCAGTGATGCTTGACAATAATGTTAATAATAATAATGACGATAGCTCACTGGCGAATGTTTTTTTTTATTTCTGTGCAATTCATGTTTTACACTCACACTCACCACCCCACCCCATCCTTTCTTCCTATTTTCTCTTTTTCTTTATGAAACTTGACTATAACGTAATAATAACTGAGGATGATGACGATGACGATTATTCAAAAAATGTGCGTACCTCCTCTTGATTTTTATTGTAATTTTGACATTTTGTCCGTCTTAGTTACTTCCTTCCTCTGCTTTGATTTTCCTTCATGTGTACAGCTGGAAAAAGTGTTTATATACACCTACCAGTAACTACTCCTCCTCCTACCATTACTACTGTTACCCCCCCCGCGCCCTTCTTGGTTTACTTTATTCTTGTAAACAGCAGTTTGATGTGTTGGATGTGTTTCCAAGGCGGTGCGGAGCAGGGGGGGGGCGGCGAGCGGTAATATCAACATCCTCTGTTTTATTGATAGTTAAACCCCTTATCTTTGTATTTGTATGTATGTATATGTGTGCGTGCGTGTATCTTTCTTTCACATACACAAGTTTATAATTTTTCATTCTTTTCTTACTTTTATGCGCATGTATGATGATACCATCATAGAATCGATCTCATTGTTATTATTATTATTATTTGTTTATTGTTTAAATAATGGCGCCATGTGTTGTTATGGTAGTAGAAGTAGTAGTTGTTGTTATTGTTGGAATGCTTCTAGCTTCACTTGAATGAAAATCTTTCGAAATCCTATTTATTACATTCAGACCACACACGCACATACACAAACTTCCCTCCCTGCTATATATACATATATGTGATGAAGGTGTATGTGATGTCCAATGCTTTTCACTCACATCCCTTTTTTCTTTGCGCATCGTGTGTGTGTGTGATTGCGCGCACGCATACTTTTGATTTGTAAATTATTTATTTCCTTATCTTACCCTCCCTCCACGCACACACACACACACCATCACCTTTTTACTGATTGATCAATGAAAAAGTTCTTTAAGTTGTTTTTTGTGCACACACGCACACAGTCGTCATTCTCCCATCCATCACACTTATTATCCAGCTGGCTATTTATAAAAAAAGAGTTGTGACGTCTCTTTTTTCTAAAAAGTTTTCTTCTGTATCTCAGATACAAACACTTACAGAGAGAGCGGGAGAGTGGGAGATTATTATTTTTGACTTTTTTCTCTTTGTGACTTTATTCTACTTTTAAAAAGACAAACATCCTCCTTTTTACATGGGGATTATTTTTAAAAAAACGAAAAGTGTGCTTACTTACTTCTTATTGTTTACTGAAATTGTTCTTTTGTTGTTTTTCTTGTTAAAAATATCTATTCCTTCGTATGATTCATGTTTTCTGTTACTAGGTTTTGTGTGTGGGGGTGCACATGTTTCGCTACGCAACGTGGCAGGTAGATAGATGCATACGATCACGGGCATCATATATTTGAAAATAATTCAAGCGACACATTGGTTTTTTTTATTTACTCCCTTCTGCAATTCTTCTTCTCCTCTTTTGTCTGTGTTATAATTACAATGCAACATTATATTATTAGACCCTGGGCACTTCGCCTTCCCTCGGCGCGCTTGGCTCTGTAGTCCTCATTCTCCCACCTTCTGGTATCTTAAATGTTATGATGTGTATAACTAACTATTTAAAAAAAAAAATTTCTTTTTAATGATTTCTACTTTATGGGGGGGGGTTGATCTCAGTCATCGGTGGTGGTGGTCACTTCATTTCTTGATGATTCCTTCCGTTGTGGTTGTCTCATATGGGACAAGAAGGTAGGCGCGTAAACAGACTCCCTGTCTCTCTCTCTCTCTCCCGCTCTGTTGACTTCACCGCGAATGTTTTTGTTTGTGTCCCCTATTGTCGGAATGTAAAACAACCAACACATACACGATAATGTTAATGATAGTCCTTTGTTTGTTATCTGTCCTATCCTTATCTGATGATTTCCTCTTTTCTATCGGCGCGTACGTGCGTGCGTGTGTTTGAGAACACCGGATATATTTCCCTCCCTCTGTCGTATTTCTTTTTCCAAGCTTTATTTAGATGCAGAGATATGCCTCTTGTATAAATTAATACACATAACTAACTATCTAAGTAACTAACTAACTGTTGAACCCATTTATTCAGTTTTATTTGTAATGATTTTATTTTTTATTTGGTGTTCTCCTATTATCTTTCCTTTTGTTTATTAATTATCAATCTTTATTGTCTATCCCCTCTCCCATCACTTGCCCTATTTTTTCTTTCTTTCTTCAACGGTTTAAAATTTAAAAAATTCTCTATTTGTTGTGTATACATTTGTGTGTGTGTGTGTGTGCGATTGTACACTTGGTAAATTATATTAAGCCTGTATTGTCTCTCTCTCTCTCTCATTCACCATTTATCCTTAACAGTTAACTAACTGTTGAAGACGATTGTTTGTTGACAGTGTTCTAGGCCATAATTCTTCTTCGTTTGCTCGCAACCCCCCTCCCGCCACCTTCTTGTCCATTATTAATTAATTAGTAATATGTGTGCTGGTCTTGTATAATTAAGGATGAGTGTAAATTCTAATCTACCTCTTTCTTTCTCTCGCTCATCCTTTCGTTTTCTTCCTTTATTCTATTGTCATATACTATGTGTCTATGTATGTCATTGCATTCTACTATTGTGTTTAGTGAGTAGTGATATCTACGCATACCTTTTTTGTTTCTCTCCAGCCTTCAGAATACTTGTATCCCCTGTAGAGAACTTGATCTGATCTCATTTATTATTTATGATTATCACTGTTGCTGTCTCTTGATTTTTATTTTTTTTAGATAATTGATAATATAATAATAATAGTAATAGTAGCAATAATATGGGCACCCCTTGCTCCCCCCCTCACCTCCCAATCTCCTTCGTTTAACTAACCCCTGCTTCTGGTGTTGATGGCAGGGTGATCAATAATAATAGTAATGATAATTACTTGTACTCATATTATAATATTAAAGATAAACGACTACCAATCCTCTATGTTCCTATCTGACTATGATGGACAAATTAATATAATATTATATACATATATATTTTTTTTCTGTCTTGGTTGTTGTTTTAACAGTTTCACTTTGCTTTTATTTGTTTTTTTTTCAAAAAATTTCTCCCGTTGATTGATTGATTAATTGATTAACCCCCCCCCTTTATTCCCACAACACCCTCACCATCCCGTCCTGTGTACGTCGATCTCATTTTTATTTGTCTACTTTTCTCCTGTTCAAATTTTATTTTTTTACTTCAAAATGATGAGCATATATATATATATATATATATATATATATATATATAAATGGCCATGTGTATTATTACTTTATTATTATTAATGTACATTTTATTTACTTATTTATTTTACGTATGTCTGAATGTATGTGTGTGTATGTATGTAATATTGTGTATATTTCAGTTTGTGTGTGTGTGTGTGTATGCGTACGCGCTCGCGTGCGTGTGTGTGTATGTTCATCGTTTTATTTTTATCAGTTTTTTCTAAAGAAACCCTGCTTTGCGTTTAACTTTTAGAATACAATTTACCTACTTGATATAAAAATAAAATGAAAAAAAGTTGAAAATAATTCATACCATAAACAAAAAATAATAATAATGATATTTTGTTTTATTTCATGTGGAAGATTTCATCATGAGCTGACATCATCAGTTAGAGGGAGAGAGAGAGAGAGAGAACCATTGGGAAACCAATCAGGGAGTACTGGACAGCCAGTTGTTTCGTCAAACTAGTTTGGGACTTTTCAACAGTACGCAGCACCCACCACGCTGATGTTCGAACCCAGAACCTTCTGGTTACAAGGCTAGCAAGCTCATAGACCCACTGAGACCCTATCCAATGGTTCTTGAAGTCTAACTTCTGCCAGCCAATTCATGACATAGCCCAACCATTTCGCAATCTCTTCTTCGATGAGTTACTAACCCCATCTTCGACCTGGTGTGCCCTACTGGTCACGGCTTTCCACTAGAAGCCCTGGTTAACTGCTTGAATAGGGCCAGTCGCTAGTGAGCATCAGATTAATTTTCAAGTATTGGTTGGTTTTGTAGGGATCTGTTTGTTTGATTGTATGGAGGATTTCATCATGAGCTGACATCAGTTTTGTATTGGTTTTCTGTTTTTATGCTCATGTTTGCATTTCAACGTGTCATTTGTTCATTCATTTTTTGGATCCCAACAACAATGAATGCTGACAATGTATTACACATCAGTTAGAAGAAAAGTACATATTTGAACATTGGGGAAAGACGTCGCTATTCTATAGACTGTGTTAGATTTCATCCGAGAGGCTGTCTGTGGTGATAACCCTGAATTATTTGAGCTTGACTCTCAGTAGTAGTAGTAGTATTGAGTTGTGAGGTGCGAACTTCTGGCGGCGAAACAAATGTGTCTAGTACTCCGTGATTTCCAGTGGAATATAAAGCTTCAAAGTAGAGCTTTGAAGTTTCGGTAGCAGCGGTTTTATTTTATTTTTATTTTCGATTACAGCTTGATTCTACACTGTATTTTTGGTACAAGTATGGAATTTTCAGCATGGATATCGGTAGCCCAAAATTCGCAGGCCGACCATAGATATCAGGTGTGCGTCGGCGTGGGCTCGAACCCCGGTGGACCATGTGCATGGTTGGCGAGAGTCCTAACCGCTATGCCACCGACACACGACGGGGTTCGGGGGGTGGCGTTGCTTGCCTCACATCCCACTCAACCTACCATGTTTACTGTCTCAGCGAGGTTTAGAAGTGAGTGCGTCGTCAGTCGAGGATCGAACACTCTGGACAAACTAACACACTAGTAGTTCTCTAACTGATTTAATGTCAGTCAGTTTTTATCTATACGGATGATGGGCTTGTAGGAGGCTTAATCCTGTATCCTTTCGATTTACTGTACACAGTGAAGTTGTCCATGATAATAATATTATTAACAATAGCTTTATTACAACAAATACGTTTATACAAAATATAGAATTTCGCGGGCGAGTTTCAGTGTAAGGTATTTACTGCACAATGTTCTTCCTCCATCTCTCTGGAAAACTTCCTCACGGTAGGTGGAAACTTTCTTTGAAATAGTGCGCGAATATAGATTGTATCTCACTATGGTAATTAAATCATTAAAATAATATAAGGCGGAGTAAACACACACACGATGCACGAAAATTTCGTCAGTTCTGTGATTTAAGTCGACAGCCTCCTTTTGAATGAAGTATTAGGCTTGAAGGTGCTGAAGAGAGAGATGTGTTACGCACGGTAATAGATTTCATTACTTTTTAGAATTCGGTGCGAGAAACGAACTTCCAGGCCTAGAGGATTCGATTGTAGCGAATTAAGTTGGACAATGTAATTATAATCAAGGTTTTTTGTATTTCCCAATGAATGAAAAACAAAACGATATTGTTGTTTTTACTGACGTTCCGCTATTTAATGCTAATAGCTTTATCAAAGTATTATTAAATCGGAATTTACAAAATCTCAGCATATATATATATATCAACGAGTTAAGGGGTGGGAAAATATACTTAGGTCAAGTTAAAAGGACATATTGAAAGTCAAAATAACAATGAAGATCACTAAATCATATATCAAAGGTAATAGTTTATCTGTTATGATATCAAAACAACGTTTACTAACTTGGTCATCGTTCGTCTGTATGGGGTCATTTTTCGTTATCAAGTTGGTCAATTGGTAAAGATAACAAAATCAGAGGTAGATTGTTGGATTTGATCAGTGTGTAAAATTAAAAAAGTAGTGTGTTTTCACATAGTGAACTTGCTTATCACATTCGTGTTGATTTTGTCACTTCGTTGGGGAGGGGAGGAAGGTGTTGTAACCAGGTCAGATTCTAGTTTAGTCCATCATTCCTATTCACTTAAGACAATTTGGATTCCATTTGATATGCAGTGCTTCTGATGATATTAGACATTATTTGTGATTTCTGAAATGCTTTTCTGGATGATGAAGACTCCAACATTGTCAAAATCAAATTTGTGGCCTGATTCTATAGCGTCGTTTAGACGAGCTATGGCTGGCTGATGAGTTTTCAAGCCTTTCTAGCTCACTAACTGGATTTTTAGGTGGTCGAACAGACGTGGCCCTACGGTGTTCATTTTTTCTGATTTCGATTTCTCCCGATGTATTTCGCATCACATTCCAAGCAAGCATTTTGTAGACACAATTAGATAGAAAATCTTTTGGGATTTGGTCTTTTATATGAACAAGGTTGCTTTGAAGTGTGTCTGATGTTTTGAAGAAAAATCTAATGTCGAGCTGACTGAGTACTCTTCTGATATTGTCTAACTTTTCTGCTCTAAATGGAATGATGACTGTTGATGTCCATGTTTTCCGAGTACGCTTCCGATCATACTTAATGTCAGTGTTGATTTTGTTGATGAAGTTCTTTAGGGTAGTTGTTTTGCTTGAGAGTTTCAGTAATGTTTGATATTTCTTCTTCCGCCTTTTTCTTTCTCATCCGTTAAAATCAAATAGTGTGCTCGTCTAAGAAGACCTGAAATTACTGATACTTTTTCGTTGATGGGGTGTGATGATTTGAAGTCTAAATATTTATTGGAGTGGGTTTCCTTCCTGAATATGGATATACTAAAATGTCCGTTTTCCCTCCTCTTAACTAGGGAGTCTAGAAATGGTAGTTCACCGACGTCTGATTCTGCTTCCGAAGTGAACTGGATTCTGGGAGATACACAGTTTATTTTCTCCAGGAATGAATTGTGTAGATCTCGTCTTAGCACCACAAAAGTATCATCTACATATCTTGACTATATTTTAGGAGTGAGTATGCTTGAAAAGATGTTATTTTCGAATTTATTCATGTAAAGGTCGGCGACTATTGGGGAGACTGGTGAACCTATAGCAGCACCATTTGTTGTCTGTCTCCCTTTAAATGTAAAATAATTACTTTCTAGACAGAATTTTAAGCTCTTAAGTATTTCACTGATGGGTGTCCAGTAAACATCTTTGTGATAGCGTTGTATCTGATTCTGGTAGACTAGAAATGATATCAAGACTTTCGGTAATAGGTATACCAGTATGTAATGAGTTAATATCATAGCTTACCATAATGTCTTCTTTATCAATTTCTCGGTGTTCTATTTGGGATTTGAAATCATATGAATTTCTTACAATATTTTGAGTGTCCTTTTGTAGTGGTTGTACTATCGAGAGTAAGTATTTAGATAGGTTGTCTGTCGGTGAGTTTTTATTTTAAGATATAAATTATTATGTTAAATGCGGAAGGTTTAATACGTGATTATTGTTTTGTCGCCAATATACGATTATTACTATTGTGTTATCATTATTCCTTTGGGTTCCGAATGGGACATAGAGATTCGCCAGCACATATCTCCTTTTTCTTACCGTCCTCTGTGGTCCTTTCTAGATAGCTGCATATTTGCCCATAAGATCTCCTCCTCCACGTTATCTTCGGACCCTTCCTCTCGAACTCGTCGTTTTCCCTCATTGGGTTCCATTCTCGATTGTGTCTGGGTGGTACACAATAATATCACTGATAGGATCTCCTCAGCGTATGTTTAATCTGTCTGTCTCCATTCTCTTCGACATATTTTGTTGGACAGTAGGTCCTTTCCTATTTCGTTGATAGTCGGAATAAATCTAGCCGAATCCACCTTTCCACTTATGAAAGGTTTGGTAATCCCTCAGTATATCCTACTCCTCACTTTCTGCATCATAATTTTAATATTCAGCAAATCACTTGTAGTGAATAGGATTGCTTAGCCAGTGTCTTCAGATTCGGATCCTTCTTTCTAAAAGTTAAATGTAGAATCGATCTCAACGTATCTCTGTAGAGGGCTGTATGCAGTCCTGCTTCACTGTTCATTACCACTGGAGCTATGTGGCTCACTCATTTAAAATTATAGTCAATAAAAATAAGCTTTAGGATTTTGTTCAGTTTCTTCTCAACCATGCTATCTAATTAATTTATTGTATAAGGAATGACAGTTAATACCATTCCATGGAATAATTAAAATTAATATCAGTACAGATCCAATGTGGGGAGACAGGAATATCCTGGACCGACGTGAAGAACCTAGAAGACCTGGATTTCGCGCGTGGATGACTTATGTTTGATGTCACACACAATCGAAGACTTACAAGCGAGCGAAAACCGACAAACTGGTCGAAGAAACAGCCGGCGAAGACAGGACTCCAGGTAAACATAGACAAGACGGAGGTTATGAAAATAACCAACCAAAAACAGCAACAACATCCAACGTCAATCGCCATCAACGGGAGGGATTTGAAAGAGGT